CAACATTCTAAATGCTGTATTAATGTTAATTTTGTGCCCCGTCTCAACTATATGTTTCGCTATCGATGAGCTTGGTTTTCTACCTCCTACATTGATCGGATCATTTGACATACATTGATTTTGAAGCCATCTAGGCACATGTTCATTGACCCTTGATTGCATTGTTCGATTACTCCTCCCTATGTATGTGTGTCCACACAAACATGTAAATTGGTGAATACAATGGGATGTGACGTAATCATTAGTGCATTGTTTGGGTCTATTAGGAATCATGGCCTTAGACTTTTCAATCACTATTAACTGAGCAGCAAAATACGTATTCTCGATGGCTGCTTTCAATCTCTGCCTTAAGACTATACTGTTAGATTCGCCTCTATATGGTAGATTGATATAAACTTTTTTCTTTGGCACTGAGTAAATTAGAGGTCTTGGCATTAACTGACTTTTGCACCTATTAATAAACTTGAGTGGATAACCATTTGCTATTAATGTGTCAGTCAGTAACTTTCCATCTTTTTCCACCATGTCAGAGGTACATATTCTTCGAGTCCTCTTAAAGAGGCACTTAACCAGACCTATCTTGTATTGCAATGGACAGAAACTATGGAAATTTAAGTATTGTCCCGTCCAAGTTGGTTTCCTATACACTGACCGTCTAATAGTGCCATCATCCCTTCGACTTAAAAGTATGTCTAGAAAGGCTAATTGGCCATTACTTTCTGATTCATGTGTCATCACAATATCGTTTTGAACACCATTGAGTTTATCCAATAATCGGTAAACATCAAAATCTTTATCACATATAATTAGGATATCGTCCATATATCTTCTATATAGAGTTGTCTCACTAATAAGGTCGCTCGTCATATTTTCCACATATGACATGAATATCTCAGCTAAGAGAGGCCCCAAAGGGCTACTCATAGCTACACCATCAACTTGTCGAAAATATTCACCATCAAACGTAAATTGAACACTAGCTGTACACAATAAAAGTAATTCTTTCAAAAATGTATCTTTTAAAGAGAACTTACAAAGATCAGTACGAATTGGGTTTAACAATTTTACTAACCATTAAGCTAGCTCGTGTGTGGGAGAACCACGCATAGACAAAATTGGTCGTAATGGAATATTAGGTTTATGATACATTTGAACTAATTGACCTTCTTGGTGACATTAATATTAAAGAAAAATCTTTGCATTCATTTGATGTAAACTCTCTCTTCACGAATGTACCGTTAACAAAGACGGTGGATTTCTTTTGTGACTATATTTTCAAAAACTTTTTCCTATTTCGTTACCATTTTTGAAAGAATTACTTTTATTGTGTACAGCTAGTGTTCAATTTACGTTTGATGGTGAATATTTTCGACAAGTTGATGGTGTAGCTATGAGTAGCCCTTTGGGGCCTCTCTTAGCTGAGATATTCATGTCATATGTGGAAAATATGACGAGCGACCTTATTAGTGAGACAACTCTATATAGAAGATATATGGACGATATCCTAATTATATGTGATAAAGATTTTGATGTTTACCGATTATTGGATAAACTCAATGGTGTTCAAAACGATATTGTGATGACACATGAATCAGAAAGTAATGGCCAATTAGCCTTTCTAGACATACTTTTAAGTCGAAGGGATGATGGCACTATTAGACGGTCAGTGTATAGGAAACCAACTTGGACGGGACAATACTTAAATTTCCATAGTTTCTGTCCATTGCAATACAAGATAGGTCTGGTTAAGTGCCTCTTTAAGAGGACTCGAAGAATATGTACCTCTGACATGGTGGAAAAAGATGGAAAGTTACTGACTGACACATTAATAGCAAATGGTTATCCACTCAAGTTTATTAATAGGTGCAAAAGTCAGTTAATGCCAAGACCTCTAATTTACTCAGTGCCAAAGAAAAAAGTTTATATCAATCTACCATATAGAGGCGAATCTAACAGTATAGTCTTAAGGCAGAGATTGAAAGCAGCCATCGAGAATACGTATTTTGCTGCTCAGTTAATAGTGATTGAAAAGTCTAAGGCCATGATTCCTAATAGACCCAAACAATGCACTAATGATTACGTCACATCCCATTGTATTCACCAATTTACATGTTTGTGTGGACACACATACATAGGGAGGAGTAATCGAACAATGCAATCAAGGGTCAATGAACATGTGCCTAGATGGCTTCAAAATCAATGTATGTCAAATGATCCGATCAATGTAGGAGGTAGAAAACCAAGCTCATCGATAGCGAAACATATAGTTGAGACGGGGCACAAAATTAACATTAATACAGCATTTAGAATGTTGTATAGAAATTGTCAAGGTCGAATTCTTAAGTTTATTGAAGCCTTGGCTATTCGTAAATTTAAACCCCCTTATGTGTACAAAAACAATTTGTCGTAACCTTGAATCCACCTTGGTAATCCTTAAGTCATTCTATGGCCTAGGATAACGCGACAATTTCTTATCCTTTCTCTCCCCTTAGTTATTTTAATTGTACTTTTATTTGTTTGACCTGTATTAATTTTCATATAAAAATGCATGTATAGCGTTAATACATCACATTTTTCAGATCATCTCCATCTTCTCATTGTTCTATCGATATTGTGTATTCATACAAAAAGTGATGGTCCAAATATTCTGAGAAGTCGCGAACCCAAATTGATATCTTAAAAAACACTTCGAAAGTTTTATAAATAATGTGAGCTAAATTCCATTTAATTGGCGGCTTCAATCTTGCAGACTATCACTTATTTGAAGTAAATTTACGAATTTATTTATTTTAACACATAGATATTGGTACAACAAGGCACCAAATATATATGCGCCACACAAATCTCATTCGATATGTATTAGGGCTGTGATACTGCCCGGGTGCCCAAACCGAAGTAGGTGGTTTCCTTAGGGGGCCACACTCCGAGCCTTCGACCTGAAGGTCTGATCCACAAGGCAGTGGAGCATCGTAAGGAAATACAGTCCCATGGAAGCCGGTGACCAACAATTGGTTCATACGCCATTTGTTCCGGCAGGATACTGGAGCCCATGTGCACCATTGGTTTGGAATCCGGTTAAAGCGCCGGACATTCGCTTTTCGTTCTCTCATTTTCGTAGACAACACCCCCGCCACGACTCATACATCTGAACCATAAGGTTCGTTGAATATTCAGTAAGAATCCGACCTGCACAACTCAAAAAATGTACAGGGTCCGAGTTTCTGAATGCCTTTCAGTTTTACTAATAGAAAAATAGCGATATCACTAGTTCTAAATCAATTATTGTTGTTCATGGGACAGTAAATGATACAGTAAAAGACATGCATTCAAAAAATTTCCCTTGTCATAATCTATTAGAATATTTACCAATAAAGAGATTTTCGGTTAGATTTTATAAGACTGTCGTACTTTTCATTGAATTTTACCTAACACACTCCCCATAGGTTTGTCTAAGTGTTCTCGGTACTTGGCAAGGTCCCGAATGGACACCAGCACAAAGCTTATCTTCAGTTTTAATATCCATTCAATCTTTGATGAACGATAAACCATATTTTAATGAGCCTGGATTCACCACTGAACGTAGCCCAGGCGATGCTCAACAATACAATGCAATAATTACACATGAAACTATTCGATGTGCAGTTTGTGATGTATTAGAGCGTCGTACAGCATTTCCTTCGGATTTGTACGCGGTAGTGGAATCTAGTTTTGAGGATTATTACGAATATTATATTAGCGTTTGCGAACGAAATATGCATTTATCAGGTCAACCTATGGTTGATCCTTTCGAAGATGGGCGAGGGATTTTTGATTATGCTAGTCTGTTAAAGCGTTTAAAAGCTTTGAACAGTCAATTAAAACAAAGATATTCTGGAACAGATAACGTCATTGCGATGGGCATGTCAGGAGAAGACAAATGACAACCTATACAGTCCTAACAATGAATTCTGGACTACAATTGACTCCTAATTCGGAAGAATATGTGGGGTGTTTTGTTGTATATCACCAAGTTTATATTAAATCTAGTTAACTTTATTTCTGTCACATTTTCTTTCCAAGTGTCTTGTTTTTGATCAAGTAAGCACTTATCTTGATCTATCCATTTTAATTTGATTGTTTTCCATTCCCCTTTACAATTTTATTTCCTCATTTTGTTATTGCTGTTATTACTTACGAAGTGCGAAATGTTGAACATGTATAAAATGTTCTAGAAATGGAGGATAAGCAATGCTACGCTTTAGTTTTATTGATTTCATTTATTGGGGTGCTATGGTTTCTCTTATTACGACCCAGCTACCCTTATTGCTTAGTAATCTTGGACACTACTTCACTCGACAAGTACCCAAACCAGAGCACGGCTGGACAGAAACGTAGTTATATCTCAAATAACAAGGGTGGATGGAAGTAGGAATCAAAATAAGAAAAGCATTAGCATATTTACACAAGATTCTAGAATCTTCTCCAAGCCTCCGCTAGCACTGATTGGTTAGGAAACAGCCAATCAGCATGCCTTAACACAATCCCACATGGGACATGCTTTAATCTAATCTATATCCCGCTAACATGAGGGAACTTGTGAGTTTTTGTCGATTTTGCAGGTGCAGAATTATGTTGGGAGTCACCAAAAATGTGCTACCGCCGGTTAAGCGTAAACTGTGATTTTTTAAACATGGAACCATAGGTAGGTATCATTACTAAGGTTTGACTTGATAATTTCGAATAGATTGAGCATTGGGTAGATTGTTATAAATAAATTTATTCTATGAAAAAGTGACTTACACTGAGTCACTCATTGGGATATTACAAATATATTAATTTATTTAAAGAACCATAGGGTTGATGTGCACTATTGAATTCCAAAGATATTTTGGAAAAACTGAAAATCAGTTGATGGTAGATCTGTCAAGTCAATTCCTATATAACAATAATTGAATTGTAACTGGCACCTAAATAGGCGTCTAATAAAAGACAAAAAAATATTAACGCTCGCCTCGAAGTTTGCAAAAAATAATTTATTTCATTTGAGTTAACCTATGATTCACCATTTTAATGCACTTGGGTTGATTATTTCAATCTTAGGAACAGTTTTGTATGTAGTGTATAGGTATTTAAGGTTAGGGTCTTTGAATTTGATATATTCATACAAATTCTTCACCAAAGCGTTGGACATTGGTTTAGAAACTGGGAGACTTGCGTACAGTTCGCTTGTTTGTGTTATAATTTCTTTTACTTGTCCACCACCATTAAGACAACCTGTAAAAAAGTACAAACGATCAATAACAGATACAATCAACAAATAACTAGAATTAATCATAAAATATGGCAGTGTCAGGTTACCGGCTTGAATTTTGTCCAAGCTATTTCGGTTTGTTCAACTCGTTAGTATTACTGGCTCTCACACAAAAATTAAGTTTCAATACTGAGATCACGCGGTCATTAGGCTACAGTTACTTAGTCCTATGAGAATACCAAGTTACTTTCTTGTAAATTACACTTAGTCAAAAAAACCATATCAAGCCCCAGTAACATCACACGATCACGGTGACTAAATACTATTAGTTAAAGTTTATAACACAACAACTGGGTTGAGTAAATTTTGGAGTAAATAGAAACAATATCATTCAAGTGCAATTAACCTTTCACAAGAGCACGATGAGCTGAAATTAACGAGATTATCAGAGAAGAAAAATTGGTGAAGATTAAACAGTGGAAAATACTGTCTAAAAAGAATGAATTCGAGGAACGCTTACTGAGGGAAGAAGAGTGAATCCACTAGCTTATTTTGCCTAACGTTTTCAACCACTGGTCACGCGGATCCAAAACATAATTTGCACCAGCAACACGCCTCACCTCCAGCAGTCAACTACTTCACGGACTCGTGCCATATGGCGTGTGACATGCCGTCATACTCCAACCAACATCGCGTTTTGTGATATACGACACAGTATACATCATGAAGTTTGGTCTACACTCCCCTTGATTGGAGGTGAAATAGCACAACTTGGCAGTTCAAAATCCCTTCCTTATGTAGTTACATGGTGCCATCTTTCTACTAGCCAGTTAGGTTCTGAACAGCCACTTCTAGGCTTTTGTAGTTGCTGCTGACTATCAAATGACTAATAAGGAATTTTCAATATCCAGTTATACAGTACTTAAGATGCGTTGGATTTACATGAACAAGCTTCCTGTTTCATAGAGTGGGATACATAGTGTATATATGTAAGAAGAGCTACTACAGTGCCCGTTCATTTCAACGTGAACTGCGCTAAAACTTAGCTAGGACTGGTTCATTTGTTAATCTCAGAAAAATATATTACCAAATACCCAACAGTTAACAGATGATCTTGTATCCAGTCGTACCGGCTTTAACAGACAACTTAAGGGCGTACATATATTTCGGCAATTCATATATGATCGGACAGTCTCCTTTAAACACTAAATTCAATACAGGTAATCTACGAAAACATTTGACTAACCACTTGGACATGCCATCACTTCTACATAATCAAACGGATAATGGGCTTTTATCTGTTTAGACTTTATTTGATCTGGGTTATCGCATTTTCTAAATTGATAAGTTTTTCGCAGATATTGAACAATAGTTTGGATATTGCGAAACCCATTAGCTATCCCAAATACTAACAGTGCTTTTGGTTGAATTTCCAAGTGACGGTAAGGTGTTCGATTTGAAAGAGATGATAGCAGAGACTCCGCCAGACTACGATCTTCTTTTGAATTAAACAAGATTAACTCCTTGAAAATAAAACAAAGAGGATAACGTGATGTGAATATTTAGTCAACAACAGACATAAAACGATCGTTGATTATTCACCTTATTTTGAATATGGCATGCAGTTAACCATACATACGTAGTTTTGCATTAAAGATTAAAGTCTTAGTATCGTCTAAAGCATTAAAATTAAATATTGGACTGAGTAACACAATAGATGATTTATGTCAAAAGTATTTCTTTGAAAATTCTATCGAATACAATTTAAACCAATGCAGGTGAACTAAGGAAGGGCAACATGATGATTTATTATAAAAATAGGATCAATGGTAATGTATTTTCGAAATTAGTTGGTGTGTTTTGGAGGAAATGGAAATATATTCCATGTAAAACGAAAGACTACAAACTAACCTGAATATCTCGATTTTGTAAATGGCGAATTAAGATACGTTCATCCTCTAATATATCAGACTTTAATTTTACCGAGAATAGTTCTTCTGCTGCCATCTTAAGAATACATGCTGCGTATCCCCCTGAACCACTCCCATTGTGTCTATACATCGGAAGCATTTCGTTGACTAGCAAAGGAAAATGATCGGATCCAACACCTGTTTTTCCGCGCAATATTTTTACGCAGAATATTTCATATAATCTAGAAAACAAAGAAAGTATTTGACACTTGGTTTCTTGTTTCCATAGATTAAAGAACACTGTAGACTAACTAGTGTGATTAGTATTAATTTCCTTTAGTTTAAGACTAGAATTATCAATAAAAGTCACCATTCTCTAAATTTGTGGATGCATTTTGATCTAAATAAAGCGAGCACATCATCATCTACAGAATGTGAATTCGTTACGTCGTAGAAATCTTTTTAGCTACATAAGTTTGATTATTTCGAAAAGAACATAATTTTAAAAATTCGACTGTTCAGAATAACGAGCAGTGTATATGAAATAAAAATGTATTTAAGAGTTATACTTGAAGTGATAGTTCTATAGTACTCAGGTCGATTTCATTAATTAACACAACAAAAAGCCCAACAGGTTCAGAAGGGAAAAATATGTGAGTTACATTTCCTAATATTATTATAATTCATCGAAAAATAAAATGCTAGGGTCAACTATAGTTTCGGAAACATCGCCTAGTTCTTAACAACTGATTTAATATTTTTAAGGTTGGTTTTACACAAATTAAAGGACATGGTTACAATTTCACATATCCAAGGTTAAGTATGGCTCAAGTTTAATGAAAATAGACAAGATACCTGATAGTAGTAGTCATAGGCACACATTTCAAAAATATATATCCATACCTCTCTAATATTAACTGCTGACTTTCTCCCACCTCAGATGTGTGTTCAGGAAAAGAAAACGAGACGATACCACTGGATTCGTCAATTAGTGATTCAAGGAAGCAAAGCAGTTCATTGGTAGCCAAGACCAAATCAACATCTGGGACATAAAAGTCAGAAATACTTTTTGAAGGTACCGAAAACTCCTCTCTAGATGCTTCTAACTTCTTATCAAAACAAGGCATAATACTGACATGAAAGCATTTTTCTTCACCTAAAAGTTTAATTACCCTGCCTGCGATTTGCTGCGGAGAACGAACATTTGATATATGAGAGATAATTGAGAATTCACTGTGCTCAGAGCTTGAAGGGTTGGATGAAGTAAGGGGACTCTTTTCAGCATAACATATCCAACCTTTAAAACAGTAAAGAAACAGAACGTTAAACAGCTTTTACACTTGGGTTCTCAATACCAAATATTTTCTGGCTTAAACATTGTGATTTTCGTACACACTATCGCATAGGAATCATAGATCTAGGTTTCATTAGTAGTATCATGTTTACATTGATCAACAAATGCATATAACACTTGCATTAGTAGCGACTAACAATATTGACCACAAAAATATAGGAAAATCCCGCATGTTACATTAATTACTTCATTTTTAGGTATTAGTTTGGTCTCTTCCCCCTTAAGCAGTTCGAACTACTACTACTACTTGCTTGAGACATGAAAACGGTAAAATTAAAATAAAAAATGTACCAGACAGTTAGCAATGCACGACCTGGATGAAGTTTCCATCGGTTCCTGCAGCCACATCATACTCCGATCGCATTCCGAACTAAGTCTAGAAAGCACAAATATTCAATCATCAGTGTATTCGAATTGTTGGTTTGTAGTGGAAGTACTAAGTGACTGATATCAATCATATTTAGAATTGTATGCAACGACCGTGACCTACTGAGCAGATCCAGATACCTGGTAAAGAATAAGCAGAAAAAGCCTTAAGATAAACAGAACAAATTATCTATTCGTTAGAGTTGTGTGCAGAAATGCGAGCTACTAGGTGATTATTTAAAGAGACTATGGTTGATATGATTCAGTAACCATTTCAGCCACTCACTGACTGTTTTAACTTACTATTTCGATGTATAGCATCTCGGACTGGCTCAGTATCTGCGTTAGTTAGTCTGTTTGTTTTAAATGTCTTCACTAAAATGAATTCATTCTAAACCAGTCAGACCAGAACTTCTAATTCGAAGTCATACTATAGAACAGTAAGAAATTAAGTGGTGATACAGCAACTTACATATAAGGCTGTGTATAAGAAAGTACTATCTGAAAGGAACCTCAAAGCCAGCGGAGGGGAGATCAACGTACAACTAGATTAAAGTGCGTTAAGAATAAGTTCTCACAAGAACAGATTATGAATGTAACATTTGCTTTTCCCAATAAGCTTCTAATAAGCAAACGAAACACAAGCGAATAAAGCTGACACCAGTGGGAGATACGATTCTTGTGGAACTAAATAGGTACGTAAATCCATAAACTAAAAAGCAACAACGGATGATCTTGCTTTTTTTCACAGTACCAATGTCAGCAAAATGTAACTCCCATCTCTTCAGTTTCGTAAGGTTATGTGGTGTACAAGAGGATAAATTCTAAAAAAGATTGTGTTATCTGTAGGGATAAGAATAAAATATACAATATGCACCGAATGCAATTGAAATTAAAGTTAGGAAGTGTGCTAGTTATTAGTGGGAAATACCAATATTACCTGGGCAAATACTGGAGAACAAAGGTAAATGATCTGCGCATTTATCACCGCGTTTTGTGAAGTGCTCTATGAATTCTGATCCCGCTTCATAGAGACATATGTCACGAGCCCAAGTAACATCGGTAACCAAATGAATCCCGATAGAAATGAGACACGAGGCAATAAAAGTCCTGAAAGTATTCATATCCGACTTCGATAGGGAATTACTGACTTGAAAACAGTGGAATGCTCTAGCCAATTTACTTTCAGGAAGGGCTGTTACATGGCTCAGTAAATTGGCAATGGTTTGTGGGGACAACGAGACAACGATTATGCTCCGATCGTTTATCTGTAAATCTTAAGAATATTGAGAACCATACCTTTTTAGACCTATTTTGCAATAAAATATCAGAAAATACGGTAGAGCTGTGTTCGGATATAAGAATGGTCTCTGCAGAAGTTATACAGCCACTACAAGCCAAACAGTCATTAAGACTGATGGATGCTTTTTGTAAGGAATATTTACTCCCATCCTGTGAGATCGTATTGACCAGAAACACAAAATACCTCAGTTATAGCCGTGTAAGAACCATCTTCTTCAACTTTAACAGATCTGGTCTTTCCAACAGATTTATCGATCTTTACCGGTTTAATACACACCTAAAATAATCAATTTATTGAGAAACAAATCTGACCTGTGTGGGAGCGATGTAATCATCTATCGTATTTATTTGAATAACAGACGAGAATTTGTTATCAGATGATTTTGCGGACATTATGAGAAGTAATAACGTGTATTAATGACCAAATTTACAACCATGAAACTACAAAAGATAATTTTACCAAATATATGAGTTCGTTGATGCGAAAAATTAAAGGCATGATTGATAGTAGCAAATGAAAAAAGGTAATTAGTAGGTAGAAATACAATAAGTAAACGAAGAAGTATATTTTTGCAATCATTATTTATCTTCCTCTTAGAACTTTTTCTAAGGAATTTTGATTACTACAAATAGCAAAGTGAGTTGAAGAGTGCCTCTACTCAAGATCTTAGTTATCAAGACTAGCAGACGTTTTTATTATGCATCCAACATGACATGAAAATCTACTTGTATATCCGTATTCACATACTGTTAAATTCGCAACGGAAATCTCTGAGGAACTTACAGGTTTAAAAAAAGGTAAAGTGGATGAACTTGGTAGAAAATAGTCACTGACTTAGTATACTCAAATTTAAAGAGCCTCTTAAGTAATTAAGTTAACTTGTACGAAAAGTTTACTGCATGACACACTTTTATAAATTACATCAGTATATACATAGGTTCTACCATGCCAGGCAGGTCGACTGAAGAGCGGTAAGCTTCAAAGCAACAAACTCACAGTATGAGGGCAAAGTCGTACTGCAGACTGTATAGAGGTGTGACAGCAGTAAGGTGTTCCCTTCAGACAACCAGCATGACAGCGATGCTGCCTTTCCACAAGGAGAGGTGGGTTTAGAAAAGGTCGGCCCTAAAAATGCACACCTCGCCTTATCCCACGGATATCCGTCTCCGGCGGTAAGGTCTCAACAAGTACGGAGCTAACACAAAAATCAACCATATAAAGGTCGTGTGTGACCGACCTCAACCAGTTGTCCCTTGGGCACTGCGGTCACGCTCTCAGGTCACTAAGACCACCTCTAATCCAATTTCTTTTTCAGGTACCTCCAGAAAAACCCTTCCACGGTGTGGGAAACCGGGAAGTGATAACCACCCTCATACCTCTAACAGCACTCAAGACCACTGTATTCGTAATCAACCTCCGTCTTCACTTCCTATTATTCCTCCTACATCGACTTTCAACTCTAAATTTCCTCTTTCGGCTCCCTCCTCAAGTGTCACCATAACCAACGATTCTAGTGCTCAAAACACTGTCCCAGGTCTACTGAAACCTCACTCCAAACTACACATTGGAGCCTTCAACGTACGCACCCTATGTCAAATCGGTCAGCAGGCTTCCTTGGCTAAAACCCTAGAGTCTCTTTCCATTGATGTATGCTGTGTCTCCGAAACACGCATACAGGATTCCAGTGTGGTCATTCACTTGACCTCACCTCGGCAAGACGGAGAGCCAACTGGATACACCCTCCGTGTATCTGGTGACCCGATGGCCAGTTCAGACATAGTACTCGTAGGGGGTGACTTTAATGCTCAGATAGGTAGTTTAAACCAAACAGAAAGGCATTTAGGTGGATATTTTAGTATTCCGACACAGCGAACAGATAATGGTGATCGTCTGCTGCAGCTATGCTCAGACAATCGTTTATTTTTAGCAAACACAAATTTTAAGCATAAGGAGAGACATCGTCTAACATGGCGACCCCCTACACCAAACCAACGATGGACTCAAATAGACCATATTGCCATCAGTCATCGTTGGAGAGGGTCGGTAGAAGATTGTCGCTCATTCTGGAGTACCTGCTTGGACTCCGACCATGCCCTAATACGGGCACGCATCTGCTTGCGCCTCACTGGACGCAAAAAAGCCACATTAAAAAGACCCGTTAGAACTGAGTTGAGTAACGAGAAAACCAAAAGTAGGTTCCAGGAACAACTGAGGTCACACTTAGGTAGTTGTGAAGACGAGGCTGACCCAGATGTTGCTTGGAAGGGCATACAATCAGCTGTGGAAACAGCAGTGACATCTATTAGTGACTTAAACCACAGAGTTACAAGGAACCAGTGGATTTCTTCAAGGTCTGTCACACTGATGGATTCTCGCAAACTCGTCCCATCAGGTTCTGAACATGATGAAGAGCGTAAACAAATCAGATCTAGGTTAAGAAAAAGTCTAAGGAACGACCGTGAGCAGTGGTGGGTAACGAAAGCAAAAGAGATGGAAAAGGCGGCGACTATAGGGAACACAAGACAGCTTTACAGACTAATAAAAGAAACTGGAATTAATAAGTCAAGTGTAAGTGAGATTATTTCGGAAAAAGACGATACTCTCATCTGCTCCCAGTCCAGACGTTTAGAACGATGGGCGGAACATTTTAGAGAACAGTTCAGCTGGCCTTCAGCTACTCTACAACTACCCTCCATTCCCAGACAGTGTGAATGGAACATTGAAGTAGGTCCCCCAACTCTTGCTGAAGTTCAAAAGGCTATAGTTAATCTGAAACGAGGAAGGGCAGATGGATTGGCTCCAGAGGTCTTTAAGGATGGTGGTCCAATTTTAGCGATTAGGTTGACTAATATTTTAGCTAAGATCTGGGAGTTAGACGTTATCCCATCTGACTGGTCGCAATCACTTATCGTCCCAATATATAAGAAAGGGTCAAAATCATCCTGTGACAACCACAGAGGGATTAGTTTACAAACATAGTATCTAAAATACTGGCCTCGATAATTATCAACGCCTAACTAAGACTCGTGAACTACAAACACGAGAGAACCAAGCTGGCTTTAGACCTGGTCGTGGCTGCATCGACCACATATTCACCATTCGTCAGGTTCTAGAACACAGGCATACTTATCGGCGTCCGACGATGGTGGTCTTTCTTGACTTAAAAGCAGCATTTGACTCTGTAGACCGCGAGACTCTGTGGCAGTGTCTGTCATTGAAAGGCGTACCTCAGAAGTACATAAACCTTGTGAAGGCTCTTTACTCGAACACTACTAGTCGAGTCAGGGCTTATGGCGAACTGTCATCTACTTTTGCAACCTCAAGTGGTGTCCGTCAAGGCTGCCCACTTTCTCCATTTTTGTTTAACTTCATCATAGACCTATTGATGGAAATAACACTCTCGTCGACTGAATTCTCGGGTATTGATCTCCTTCCAGGAGGTCCACTTATCGACTTAGAATACGCAGATGACATAGTCCTGTTTGGTGAAGACGCTGACAAAATGCAGAGTCTTCTGGTAGCACTAAGCAACAATGCCAGAATGTTTGGGATGCGCTTCTCTCCCTCTAAATGCAAGTTGTTGCTTCAGGACTGGTCTGCGTCAACACCTGAACTAAGGATAGGGAGTGAAGTAGTCGAACGCGTTGACAACTTCACTTATCTTGGAAGTCTGATCAGCCCTAATGGGTTGGTGTCTGACGAAATCTCAGCACGGATTCGAAAAGCTCGTTTGGCTTTTGCCAACTTACGTCACCTTTGGCGGAGGCGAGATATCCGTCTATCAATAAAAGGACGAGTATACTGCGCGGCAGTCCGTTCTGTTTTAATTTACGGCAGCGAAACATGGCCTTAAGAGTAGAAGACACCCGTAAGCTACTAGTATTTGACCACAGATGCCTTAGAAATATTGCTGGCATCTGCTGGGATCACCGGGTAAGTAATAGTGAGGTTAGACGCAGGGTATTAGGGAATGATGGTAAATCAGTTGATGAGGTTATGAATCTTCATCGACTGAGATGGTTGGGCCACGTATTACGTATGCCTGAACACCGATTACCGCGACGTGCAATGCTAACCGGTGTAGGGGATGGTTGGAAGAAAGTTAGGGGCGGCCAAACCAAAACGTGGCATCAGTGCTTGAAGTCACTAACTTCTAGTCTGAGCCATGTTGGTAGATGCAGACTACTTGGTTGGGGTCCGCGTGACTTTCGTAACCAATGGTTGGAGACTCTTGGTGACATGGCTCAGAATCGATCACAATGGCGTCGGTGTATACACTCCCTGTCTTCTCTTAAACTAAGAGATTAAAATCACTTCATATCTTTCTTTCTACGAACTAATTCTTTCTTCCTATACTATATCCTTATTGCAATCTTTCTCCTATATATTACCACCTTTGACCTAACCACTCCTATGAATCCGGTGTTCATCTTGCTGTGCTAATGAGGTATGGCAACCTGGGCCGATGCATACATGTGCCTGGTCCTACGTTGTAGCTGACTGACTGACTAAACTTCCTCCTTCGACTTCTGCCTCAAGTACCACTATGGCCAACTATTCTAATGCGCGAAATATTGTTCCAGGTCTACTAAAACCTCGCTACAAACTACACATTGGAGCCTTCAACGTACAGACTACGTGTCAAATCGGCCGGCAGTTCTCCTTGGCTAAGACCGTAGGATCTCGTACGACTGATGTGTGCTGTGTCGCGGAAACACGCATACAGGATCCTAGTGTGGTCGTTTACTTGACCTCATGTCGCAAAAACGGGGAGGCGGCGAGATACAGCTTCTGTTTATCTAGCGACGCAACGGCGAGTTCTCGTGGACTGGCCAGTGTAGGCATAGCACTGGGTATGAGGGCAAAACAAGCACTTTTAGAATAGATTCCTGTTAACAGTCACCTATGTGCTGTTTGGCTAAACGTCTCTGTAAGAACTCGGAAGAATAGAGATACATGCCGTTGCCTTATCAGCATTTCTACCTACGCTTCCATTAACTCCACCCCGGATGAATTGAAAGATGAATTTTACGGAAAACTTTCTGAACTTTTTCAAAAAGCTAAACACTCAGACATAGCACCCGTAGCAGGTAACTTCAGTGCCCATGTAAGTGGATTAAACCAAACAGAAAGACATTTAGGTGTGTATTTTGGTATTCCTGCTTAGCGAACAGATAATTGTGACCGCCTGTTGCAAGTATGCTCAGACAATCGTTCATTTCTAACAAGCATTAATCTCGAGCATAAACAGAGACATAGTCTAACACAGAGACCTCCTGCACTAGACCAACGATGTACTCAAATAGATCATATTACCATCAGTCACCGTTGAAGAGGCTTAGTAGAAGACTGTCGCTTGTTCTAGAAAACCTGTTTGGACTCCGATTATGCTCTAATACGAGCACATATTTGCTTGTGCCACTCTGAATGCAGTAAAGCTGTTGACTTCATGGCCCGCTAGTTTTCACCTAATCTATTCACCAGACAAAATACTATGACAAACGTTCGTCTACTCATTTCTAGGTATTAGTGGTTATCTCACTTGGGCTGATTCGTGATATCAAAGACATTTAACAATCTCTACAGACCTATGCTGACAGTTATTAATAACATTATACATGGACTTTATCTAAACCAGTTTGAAAATATCAGTTGTTAAAAATAAAATGAGTTGATCAAGTATGATTACTTCGAGATAATCGCTACTGTGTATAGCGGTTAGGAGCGAAATGGAGACGTATAAAAGTATCATTTTGTTTGAGAGAAATTCACTAGATAGTCCTGTAGAATCACAATTTGGTGCTTAAAACCTCTGAAGAACGCACTTACGTACGCGCCCTTTAAACTTTCAGAGTAATTTCTTGAGACTGGACATGAAGTTTCCATAGTAATATCTCGACGTCTGATATTTGACTTATAAGTCCTATAGGACAATACTTTTCAGTGTGATTAACATCAAGATTGCTTGATGCTGCTTTTCGGTACAAATAACCTAACACTTATGTTGGAAACGTTTTACTTACTTGGATACTATATCATTTTATTAACTAAAAGACTGTTTAGAATAACAATTTACACTATTCGTGGCAAACTTGCTAACTAAATATACTGACTATAAAAGCACATCAATGAATGCCCCTATTTCTGTTGACGGAACACTTTAAGTTTGGCATCCTATGTCACATAATACGATATATCTTAATGTAATAAACAGAGATGGTAAACTAGAACAACTCACTTTCCCGAAAATTACGTTCTACACGCAAAAAAAAACGAAATTGAATGTGAAGCTAAATAACGCGTATCTCTATGTTTTTGATTTACTTAATCTTAGGTCATAAACTGTTTGCCTTCAAACCAAAGTATATTTAGTCGTCCTACTGACTACTTATATGATGAAGACACTTAGGAACAATCGTTGAAGCGCGATTGGATGAGCATAAAGTACGGAGAAACTTATGCGATAATTTTAGAATTTATCCAAAAGAGATTTAACTACTACTGACTTGTAAGAGAGGAATAATTACTAAACCGCATTAGCAACAGTAGCGTAAACTTCAGATTAAGTAAACCCACCCAACATTGAGTCAAAATTCAGCGCAAAATACGAAACATCAAATAATCAGTATTAATCATATCGGTTTCAGTATTTGTATTGATAAGTTTCACTCTTGTTTGAATCAGTTAAGATTCTTAGTAGTTGAAGAGTTCATATGGAGACGTGAGAATTAGTTGCCGCTTGAAATTCAAGGGATAAGATCCAATGGTTGGTCTGTTCTAGGGTAGTCCAAGCTATGAGGTAAATGAGGTCTTGCTAACCAGTCTCAATATTTAGTCACAGAGTGGTCGATGTCTGATCTTAGGAGACTTTAATGCACATATGATAGACCGGAAAAATCTGAGAACTGAATTTTCAGAAAATCCCTCCAAGCAGGAACTAGTTGATGTAGTTATCCCATGCGCCCTAATACGTGTGAAAAAAACGAATAGGTAGGACCCGAACTCTGAACGATCTTTACAAGATCTTATATTAACCCACTGTGAGGGTGACGCAACAAACCTCGATTATATCCCACCCCTAGGTAAAAGTCATCATGCAGTTCTAATCTTTGACTTCCGTATTGTTGTCAAGACGAGTAAACGTCAGCTCAACCCATACATAACGTCTGGAAAGCAAATATACAGGATATACAACACTCAGCGCCGTCAGTAGACTGAACAGTATAGTCAGAGTGCTCAATTGAAAGAGCTGTGGATGCATTCCGAAATTTATGCTTAAACGCTACTGCGCGCCACATCCCTTGGACTTAATCAAAAAGGTCGCAAAACTCTCCAACATAGTGAGTTTCTCACCCTCCTCTGCAAGGGGAGAAAGTGGGAAATATTAAGGCTACTCGGGAGAGATGAGACAAAATCTCAATTTCGAGAAGCTCGGAATACTTGTGCCTCGACCCTACACAACTCCTAAAGGTTGTACGAAGAGAAAATTGTTAAGGAGTCTACAAAATTTCCTAAACGCTCGTATTCGTATATAAACTGAGAGACTAAGAGAAGAGAAAATATTCCAGCACTATGGGGATACAGCCATGCTTCATCATTTGTAGAGGACGACTATGGTAAACCTCAGGTATTTTCGAACTACTTCAGCAACATTTTTGCCACAGAAACACCCCTCCAGTCTGTTCACACAAATCCCCTCACACAAACTGGTTACCATTAAAGAACTCTTTGTGTTTGGTCTTCTAAATAAGCTTGACGTGGGCGAGTCCGCGTGACCCGATGAACTGCAGTCTAGGTTACTAAAAGAAATAGATAACTTCTTTGCGAACCCTTTAAGCATATGCTTTAATCTATCAGTAATCCGGAGTTTTTTGTCGAAAGCCTAGAAGAACGCTACAGTAAGTTCTGTCTTTAAAGCAGGTACGAAACATTAAAATGAGAATTACCGACCCCTTAGCCTAACTAGTGTGGTTGTTTGAGTTTTAGAAAAGATAAATCAGAAGGAACTGTTTAAGTATCTCGATGAAAATCAGATCCTTCCGGAAAAACATCATGGTTTTAAAATTGGTTATTCCTGTCTCACTAACTTATTAGTGGCTCGTGAAAGCTGGTGCGCTCTTAAGAACCAAAAGTTACTTGTGGACTTAGCCAACATTGACTTCAGCGAAGCTTTTGACAAAGTTCTGCACAACCGGCCGTTATATAAGTTAAGAAATGTCGGGGTTGGAGGCAACCTATTGATGCGGATAAAAGACTTCCTAGTTGGGTGACAACAAAGAGTGCAGGTGAACTCAAAGTTGTCTTCTTGGAAGTTGTACTTATTGGAGTGCCCTAGGGTACAGTTTTGAGGCCAGTGTTATTCTTCTTGTATGTAGACGACCTTCCTCGTCTACTATCCTCATCGGTCTTGCTATATGCTGACGACGTCAAGATATGGAGAGCGATACAAAGTAAAGGTGATAGCTTGGAACTCCAAAATAACCTGGAAAAATTATCTGAATGGCCTCAGACCTGGCAGTTGCTGATGAATACTTCCAGGTTGATTGTGATATATACTGACCATCGAGGTACAGATACATACATGATGAATAACACTGAGCTACTTGTTGTCCAGACACACAATGGAAGTGACCTTCAGTCATGCTGACGCTAAAACGTTTTTGACTTTGTGTACAGTATCAGTACGTCCAAAACTTGAGTAATGAATACAAGCGGCTAGCCCCTACTTAAACAAAGACAGTGAGCTTCTGGAAAAGGCTCAGAGATCAGCAACCAAGCGGGTCCCTGGAATGGTGAAGCTCTTGTATGATGCCCGAACGGCTAATCTAAATATATTCCTGCTGTCATATCAAAGAACTGGAGGTGACCTGATTACACTTTTCAAATTGCTTAGTGATAAGTTTGCACCAGATATGCCTTCATTTTTTGTCTTCCAAAACAGGGAATCCAAAAGGTCATTCCAAAATGTTCACAAGCCTAGAACAAATTACTTGTTAGCCAACTTGCGACTTTCCAATAGAATCATCAACTAGTGGAATTCGTTAACTGAACTCGTGATTGGAGCTCCATCTGTCGACTCTTTCAAAAAAATGTTGGATCCACTAAGGCCACTATTGTCGGAATTAACACAGGCCATCAAGCCTCTCGTCCCTTCCAAAATGAAACTGAAATGACGTGATCCTGATTCCATAAACTTCTGAATGTTATTTAGGATGAATAGCTAGACAACAAGGACATTTAACCAAATACCGATTCGGAAATCATGTTCGAATGTACACGAATTTAACTTAAAATCGTTTTATTTACTGGAAGACCTGTTTGTAAACATTGTCTCTAATATAAGTAGCTTCCTCAGTCTTCATAAATACTCATTACATTACTTATTTTGTTTGACACACCATTGGTTGAGGGCGCTCGTCTGAAAATGGGCATTCGCATGTGTCTAATACATAACGTGAAGGACGTCTATATATATCAGACATAGTATTTTCCCGAAATATATAATTCAGATGTAGTTTGATATTTCATCGTCTTCGACTTCATAAGGTTATTGACTTTAATGTCATTGCAGTGGAAAGTATTCGGACAGCAGAGCTGTTGAATTATGATTAGTTATTATCTCTTCAGACTCTCAAAATAATTAAAATGTTTGAGACGTACTTTAATAAAAAACTTGTGAAATTTTAGTTGCCACGATGTGATTTTCAATAAAGCAACTGCCGCGTGTTCAAGAAAAGTACTACTGCTTAACTCTTATTATCTTGGCTATCGGAGCAGCATCTGAAAGACAAATAAGTTTCTTAACAGTGAGGCCGCACAAAGGCACCGTAGATTATCCGTAATATACGTTTCATCGCTGTCTGTAAAAAATCGAAATATCAACCAACCAACCAGAGTTTCCTTGGGGCACGTAAGACGCCGCAGTCATTCCTTTTTACAAGACAAGATCAAGGCAGTACTCAACAGATTACAGACTGCTTGATCTTATGAGTGTTGCTTTCGGAAGCAAATATCTGAAGTATTATACGAATTTGTTATAAATTAGTATTTTATCATTTATTTAAAGGCATAAACATTGGTACTAGGGGGCACAAAATATATGCACGTCACATTTCGTCATAAGATTCGTGCGATGGCATGAATACTGCCCCGGTGCCCAAACTGGAGTAGGTTTTTCTGACAGTAATGAAAGAGAGCCTAACAGTCACTCGATAATGAGGCACAAGCAGATATTATCAACATTGATGTTAGTAAGGCCTTTGAATACATTGCTCACAATGGGCTTTTATGAAAGCGAAAGACGTTGTAGAATTATGGTCTACTTCGTTATTAGTACTGCTCTAATAATAGACCTAATCCTAAAGTTGTAGATTGTCATGATGTAACTGCCTAATGTATAGGATTTTACGTGGAAGTCAAATCATCGTCTACACAAACCCAATGCATCGTAACCATCACCAATACATGATGAAGAACAAGCTTAGGCTAGAGAAAGAACAATATATTTAATATGGATAAGAAAGGCCATGCCTGCTAGGCCGAGCCATGATATCCTACCAATTCTAATAGATTGAATTCTTTTTTCCCGCCTTCTCCATCTTTGAGTTTTACTCCACGTCAAATGCTGAATACCAATATTCTCAGCAGTCTCATGTTCAGCTTTGAGGATTGTGTGGTTGGGCCTAATGACATCACGGACGCATCCGACTCGGCAATTGGAGAAGTCGTAAAACAACGGGTTAACCACGCCTGGCAACCTCTGTCATTTTTCTCTAGACGGTTGCTAGACACCGAATACAGGTATAGCACTCTCGGTAGGAAACTCCTAGCTATGCATAGTGCTATACGTCATTCTCAACACTTTATTAAAGGCCGAGAATTCACTATTTTCACTGATCGTAAACCTCTTACCTTCTCTTCAAGCTCATCTTCAGACAAGTGCTCACCATGTGGTTCTCGACAACTAGACTACGTTTCACAGTTTACCTCAGTTACTCAACACATTTCTGGAGCAAACAATGAAGTCACAGACGCCTTGTCTCGAATAACTTCCCTAAACAGTTTCCAAGTAATCGATTTTCTTAAACTCGCCCAGTTGCTTGAAGAAGACACTGATCTTCAGTACAAGTTATCATCAACAACCCTCAAGCTGCGCATTAAACAGATGGAAACAGGTAAGGGAACCTTACTTTGTGACACATTTACAGGTAGGGATCGCCCAATTGTGCCGAAACATCACCGACACAAAGTCTTCAATACGTTGCACAAAATTCCTCATCAAGGTGTTTGTGCAATCATCAAGCTTATAACAGAACGGCTTTGCTAGCCTGGTATGAATAAAAATGTGAGAGAGTGGGCATTTTCCTGCGTAAGCTGCCAGAAATCTAAGGTTACTAGACACAACAAATGTTCCTTAGGTTCATCTAAAACTCCCGATGCTCAACTCGACCATGTTCATCTGGATTTGGTAGGACCTCTACCAGATTCAAATGGATGCTCTTACCTCTTAACCTGCGTAGACCGTCTCACTCGATGACTAGAAGCAGTACTTATCAAGGACATCACTGCTGAAACAGTGGCTCGCGTCTTCGTCGAACGATGGGTAGCAAACTTCGGCTACCCTTCAACTATCACTACAAATCGCGGACGCCAGTTCGAATCTGAACTTTTTCGTCGTCTGACCACACTACTGGTAATCACTCGTTCCCGAACGATTGCCTACCACTCACAAGCAAACGGGTTGGTAGAGTGCTTTCATTGACAACTAAAAGCTTCACCATCAACTGCAAACATTTCTCAGTGGACTGATGCTCTTCCACTCGTCTTACTGAGTATTCGCAATGCAGGGAAGGCTGACATTGGATATACTGCAGCTCAACTCGTTTATGGAACGACACTTAGAATTCCAGAAGAATTTGTAGGTCCTTCGTCTTCTTCAATGAACGTGGGTGTGACTTTCTACAAGAGCAGTTAAACCTGTTTCCACTCGACCGCAACCAACGGATGTTTTTGTTCAACTTGACTTACGATATAGTACACACGTCTTCGTACGTCGAGACTCATATCGACGATCGCTCAAATCAGCATACGAAGGACCCTTCGAAGTTCTTCAGCGCGAACCTAAGTACTACACAGTCGATGAGAACGGAACTAACGATAGCATGAGCATCGACTGCATCAAATCAGTGTATCTAGAAGGAAACACTATCCATGTCGATACAACCGAAGGACACGACTACTACACTCATGATACCGCAACTGACAGCCAGCACGCACGTCGATACTTCGACAGTATTTAAAA